GTACATAGGGGCGTCTGGGTGGCCCAGTTGGTTGGGCATCTGACTCTTGGTTTCGGCTCAGGTCATGATCTCAGGGTCCTGAGATGGAGCCCCCCTCATTGTGTTGGGCTCTGTGCTCAGCAGGGAGTCTGCCTGAGATTCTCTCTCCCTCTGCCCCTCCCCCTGCTCGTGCACTGTTTCTCTCTCTAAAAGAAATAAATCTTTTCAAAAAAATAAATAAATAAAATAGAGTACATAGTATATAAGACCCTTGGCATTCTAAGGGTTGCAGCCCCAAACCTTTGCCATGAAAACATTAAAATCTTCATGAATCCCCAGTTCACACACACTCCTGGGGCACACGCTTTTCTCCATAAAGCAGACACAGGATGAAGAGCAGGAGTGACAAAGCCCCTTGGCTGGCTGGCAGGGCCAGGCCCGCTCAGCAGCCAGGAGCTCATTCCCAGCTATTATTATCCAAATCTGTGCCTCAGCAAAATCCCTGCCACCATCTACCATGGAGTTCAGGGTGCCTGCAAAGAGTGGGAGCTGTGAATGCCAACAGCCGACTACGAAGAGCAGGCTGAAGCCAGGGTCTGAACGACCAAGGCAAATGCGACAAAACCCAGGCACCTTACAGGGGCTCCTCACTCTCCTTCTCAGAGGCCATTTTCTTTTAATTTACACACTGCTCTAGCAAAGCTTGGTTATTCTCCTTCCCAGAGGGCACACACACTGTTCACACACACTCACACACCACATACACACCACTCACATGCACCACGTACATACCACTCACACACGCCCCATTCACATGCACCACACACACCACATGCACACACTACCACTCACAGACACCACACAAACACACCACATACACACACCACATATATACAACTCACACACACTAAGCTGGTTCAGCCGGGGTGCCCACTGAACACACACACACAGCTGATTAAGCAGAGGCTCCTCAGCTGCCTACCTGCTTCCCTTGGCTTTGGGGCCCCACCTGCCATTCTGCTGCCTCCATGGCCTCCCTTCCTCTGTCTGCCCCGATCTCATCTTTGCCCTGACCCCTCTTCCTCCTACCTGTACCACAGGGCGCGAACTCCCAAGGTGCCACGGTTCAGCAAGTGGAGACCATGGAGAAAGGAAGAGCTTGTACTCCCCACGACGGGGGCGGCCAGAACCCAGCTGCGGGCTCCAGCCACTGTCCCTGCAAGAGACCATGGGTCTTGGCTTGCTGGACAGTTTTGTTTTTTTTTTTTTAAAGAGGGGCTAGAAGTTTATGTGAAATTGCCTAAGTTCTAAAACATTGGTAAATAAATGTAAAGATGTGAAAACACTGGTTGAGCCAAACAAAACTGTCAGTCTGGAGTGGCTTCTGCATGCTCCCGGTCTCCCCAGGTCAGGGCTTCAGGAACAGTGAACACAAAGTCCCCCAGCAGGGTCTCTCTAAGGCTCAGATCCTGAAACCACTTTCCGGCAAGACACGGTACCCAGCTGGCCCTCAGGTACCTCCTCAACACCTCCAACTCCTCGTCCCGCTCCACACCCAGCTTGTCCACTTGCCTGGGCCTTTCTAGACCTGGGGAGCCATCAGCCCCACATGGTTCCCTCCCAGTCCACATTCTGGGCATTTTCTTTAGCCTTCGGCATATTTAACCCAGGTGGAGATGAGACGTTCATGTGAGTGAACACACAAATGCCTGACTGAATGAGGCATCTACTGAACTACCTGAGCCAGACTCCTGTGTGTCATTGTGGCGTCTTCCCCTTCTCCCCTCACCCTGGCCCACTCTACCACCCAATTAGCTCGACGTCCCACACCCTCGCCTGCCGCTTTGTCTCTGCTGCTTCTTCCACGGCCAATACCTTCAAGGTGCCCCCTCAGTCTTTCATGAAGGCAAAACCACCTGAGTTGCCACCTGGCTTCACCCGCCCATCAGCCCCCGAACAGGGAGTGCCCAGGATTTGTGCTTATTAGACTTACCCAGGGAGCTTGTCAAAAGTGCAGATTTCGTGGGTCCCACGCCTGCCAAAATTCTGATTCTGTAGGGAGGGGCGCAAAATGTGCTCATTTTCGGTTGTGGAACATGCATTCTTTACAAGTTTCCAGAGCCACTCTGCTCAAGGTGCTCAGGAGACCACACCTGGGCAAACACTATCCTGGACTGTGGTCTTTCCAAGCCATCGATCTCCTGGTGTTGTTCCCTGCTTCCAGTGGCTGGCTCCCCACAGCCTTCAGGATATAATGTAGTGATGGAGGTGGCCCCAGCGTTTGTCCAACTTAACAGCTACACGTAGGTGACTAACTGGGTCCTACTCTCTTTCACTCTGTCTTTGCACACCCACCTCCTTCTGCAGGAATGCCCCTCCCACCTTCCTCCATGGCCAACTCCTACTTACCCCTCAAGGATGAAGCTCAGATGTCACCTCTGCTGGGGAGTCTTCCCTGAATTCCCAGACTGGATGAGCTTCTTGTCCTCTATCCTCCCATATCACCCTGCCATAAATGATCTCTAATTCATTTTATTTAACAAACACACATACAGTGATCACTAAGTGTCAGGCACTGTTATCGGTGTCTTAAAATATGAGCTCACTAAATCCTTTACTAACCCTGTGAAATAGGGACTATCGTTATCCCCATTCTACAGATGAGGAAACTGAGGCAGGGAGAGGGTAAATAACATGGCTGAGGTCACCTAGCTGGTAAGTGGCAGGACAGGAATTCAATCCGGGCAGTCCGGCTTTTTCTTAGAGCCGTGGTCTCCACCACTGTCCCCCCTCCCCCTGCCGTCACCTTACATGTTATTTATCACCTCTTACCCTCCTAGCACATCACACACTGTATTCCAAGTGTCTGCTCGTGATTTTCCCCCAGTAGGACAGATAGCTGCTGTGGTCCTTGAGGGATTAAGCTCCCAGCCCAGGACCTAACCTACGGTGGAAACTCAAGGAACATGTGCTGAAGGACAAAGCTGTACACACTCATGGCGCTGGATCAACAAGAAAAGATAAAATTCCTAAAACCTCAGAGTTTGAAGAGACTTTAAATGGAGTCAGGCCCGATGACCTACCTAATATCCTCCTCTTCACAGAGCAATGCTCCAGAGTTTGCACCCCAAGCATTCCACCTCTGCATGCCACTGACTTTTAGGACGCTCCACTGGAATGTGGCCCCATGGTCACCTGGGCCACACAGAACAAGTCTGACCCCTGCAGAAAGGGCTCTTGAGATACTGAAGACAACCCTGGCTTTCACTGCTGCGGGGTAACCTTCCCTCTTCCGCCTGGGGATCTGAACCTCCAGTCCATCTTTGGTATTTTCCTCAGAAGCTGCTCTGGTCAACTGGGGCGCTGCCCACGAAAATCACCCCAGATATAGTGCCATGTGCTCAGTGTAGACTGGCCACTACCATGCCAATGGACTCTGATCAAAACGAAAAAGAAGTAGGATATATTTCAGAAGCCTCCTCTCTGACAAGCACCTGAAGGAACACAAGCCTCAGCAGCCTTTGGGACCCCGAGAGCCCTGGTTTCTGAAGATGGTACCTGGCGATGGGACTCTGTGCTGTTGTTTAAAAGGTTTACATTGGGCGCCTGGGTGGCTCAGTTGGTTAAGTGACTGCCTTTGGCTCAGGTCATGATCCTGGAGTCCCTGGATCGAGTCCCGCATCGGGCTCCCTGCTCAGGAGCGAGTCTGCTTCTCCCTCTGACCCTCCCCCCTCTCATGTGCTCTCTCTCCGTCTCTCATTCTAGCTCTCTCAAATAAATAAATAAAATCTTAAAAAATAAAAATAAAAATAAAATAAAATAAAAGGTTTACATTGACTACGCTTCCACAAGCCAAGGGGTTTCCCACAAGGTCTCTGTTCTCACACTGACACTGCAGCAGCCACAACTCATTCCATTTTACAGAAGAAGAAACAGAGGCTCTGAGAGGTCCGACTTGCCCAGGGCACAGGGCTGCCATGTGGCAGAGCAGCATCCAAACCCAAAGCTGTCATTCCAGAGCCTGTGCGTTGCCGCCGCGCCATTTTGGGAATGGCCGTTGGAACACGGTGAAACGAGCATAAAATAAGAATTAAGGACAGGCTGGGCTGAAGGAGGAAAAATGGACGATTACAAAAAAGAGCAGAAAAAGCAGAAATACAACTAATCAAGTCTTTACATGCTGGTGGTCTTTGCCCTGTTGCAATGAAACACTCCCTTAATCTGAGAAGTAATTTTTACACTGGTACACATTTTAACTAGAATAACTAAAGATAGGTATGTCTTACTTGTTCCCTTCTGCAATTTGGATATCAGGAATTTCAGAGTTTTCCTATTTCCAAACTCAAAAATATCCAGGACTTGAAAAGACAAAATGAATGATTTTCATTAAAGGCTGTTAGTCTACAGCAAGTCATTAGTACTATTTAAAATAAACATATTTTGAGAAACTATGAACTGTATCTTAACCTTTTTTATATCCTTTCCATCCACCTCCACCCCGACACCGTAGAAAAATGTGACACACATAAGCACTTAATAAATACATTTAGGGTCACAGACCCTACTTTCTGTACCAAGAGGAAGAAATGCTTATTTAAACAACCTGATTTTTAAATTGTAACCCGGGTCATAACTTTCTCATATTCAAAACATGAGAAAAAGCCAACAGGACAAAATAAAATACATGATCATTGCAGAAAGCAAATAAAACTATACTGGTTCACTTAAAGCCTGAGAAAAACCAAGTTATATTTGATTGCCTCACATATATTACCTAAAATAATTATATGTGCTAATCCGGTATTTATTCAAAAATTAGTCAAAAGAAATGATGAAAAAAAAGTCCACATATTTTAGGGTAAGAATGAAAACACAAATGTTAGTTAAAGGTATGCTTTTGTATTACCAACTAGTGCAGTTCCTTATACCGTAATAACCAGCAAGCCACAACACAATTAAATAAATAAAGCAATTAAACTCCATATCTACAGAAATGGGTAAGTTTCAAAGTTATAGTTTACCTAGAAGTAGAAGAGCAGTAAGAACATCCATATCTTAATATCTTTCCGAACCCCAACGTATCCAAGAGTAAAGAGCTCCAACCCGGGCAGGCTAATTTACCCTGCAAAATTTCCCTTAAAAAAAAGTATGGCTGAAAATTGGCTCTCCTAAAACAGAAGGTACTTTCAGAAGAGTTATATAAGCAAAACACACTGGCCAATTCAGTGACGTGGAAACCACCTCATGCAAGAGAAACGCAGCAAACACAAGTAACCCACATTCACGTCTCAGATCCTGTCAGCTTCGTAGAATAAAAAGTCAAGGTTGATTGTAACCTCCCACCTCTCCAGCCAAAGGATGGAAAATTTTTAATGAAAAGTTATGAACAATTAAACTACTGAGAGTCCTAACACACTTTTTGGAAAGGATTCGTATTTTATGGTTCATTAACCATCTGGAGTATCTTTAAACTTCCTATGCCCACCTACTCTTGACCTCGTTTCCTATTCTGGAAGGATAAAATGAGTATTTTTAATTGTCTTTAGTATTAGAAACAGCCTGTTGGTACCAGACGTGTACGTGGAGTATGTCACAAATTGGAGGTGTATCAGGGGAAACTTGCTCAAAGCCTCCTCTCTTCAAACCACTTATTCCAAATGCCAAGTCCTTCCCACATTCCTCAGCGCTCTCAGAACATCTCACTCGCCGAGCCACCTGCTCTCCTTCCCATCACTCAAACTGCGACAGAAACGCCACCTCCTCGCAGAGCCATCCTAGGCAGTGATGGGTGCCGACCATGTGTCTCCCATCCATCAGGGTGCGGTGGTAAGATGGAGGGAAGTCAGGTGACAGCAAAAACCCAATTCCCAGCATTGGACAGACATTCTCAGCTTCGAGTATACGGCACCAGAAGGAGAGGGAATTCAGGTCAGCCTGCTTTTCAGAGCAGGTGTCGATTCATTCATTCATTCGTTTCACGGTCATGAAACACCTACTGTGTGGTTGGCAGTGCAGTCCCTGGGGTATAGAGGGAAACAGGACATGGTCCCTGCTCTCAGAGAACAGTCTTGCAAGAGGAAGAGTCACAAGAACTGAACATTAGAATACCATATGGCTAGTGTGAGGAGGGGAACAGGTTTAGGGCATCCTGGAAGTACATACACCAAAGAAGCCTCAGACCCAGTTGAGGGGGTGGGGGGAAGTCCTGGGAGGTTCCTAGAGGAGAGAAAGACTGAGTGAACCACGTGGAGGAAAGGATGGGAGGGGCGTGAGGAGGATGGTGCTCCAGGCAGAGGGGCTGGCGGGATCTGGGCACAAGAGAACAGGGTAAATGCGTAGAGAACGCCAAGCAATTCGGCGTGAGAGAGGGGCCACTGGAGGACAGAGGGCCTCCCGGACAGCATGCGCCACCCCTGCAGGGTTACAACCAAGGAGGTGCCGGGGCCAGATCTGTGTTTGAGGATGGCCTCTCTTGGGGGGAGCAGTGGGGTATGCAGCTTGGGGGTCGAACCTGAACACAGGCGCCTAGTGAAGGACAAAGTGCTGGGCAGTGAGATCCGTGGACTGGCTTCATCAGCCCTGCCCTTGCCTCACCACATGAGATGCCCCGTGTATGGTCCCTGCTGCACAGGAAACTGAGTTTGGTACCTAATCCCCTACGCTCTCCAACAACTGCAGCCTCACAGCCCACTGAACAGAAAACAAGACACCCAACCCTCAAAGAACCAACCAGCAGGCTAAACACCCCGGCTCACACTGGGCCGCTCAGTGTCTCCCCCTTGGGAATCTAAGAGTCCAGGAATAACTGGGCAGTTTAGGAACCTATGCAGAAGCCAAAAACATTTTGTGAGGCCTGGTGAGCACTCTAGTTCCTTATGGCCAAAAAGGACACTCAGGACAAAGCTCAGCGGTTTAGGATTTGTACTCACAACCATCCACCATCAGTACCAATAATAAAAAGAGTCGGTTGTTTTAAACTGCATTGTTCATTTGAAAAACAAAGGCTTTGGGGCCTGCTTGTTTCCTCCCCACAAGGGCCCTCTATCGCGGAATGAAGCCCCCTCCCCTCCCACGAGCCAGCGGCACCAGGCGATACTCACAGAACTGCAGGCTGAGGCTCACGAAGGCCAGCAGCCCCGCCAGGGCCAGCAGCAGCAAGAAGCGACTGCGGAAAAGCATTATTGTCTGTTCTATTTTCTCCTCATGGCTTCACCTCCAATCGGGAACACGTCCTGTGAACAAAACAGAGGCAATAAACATGGGCTCCGAGGTGGAAAACCAAGTTTGTCAACTGAAAATAATCCAATTAGCCCAGTCCTCCAGCAGGGAAGCGTGAATCCTAGTCACAGAACAAGAGCAGGTTATGTCTTTGCCCCCAAATGAGCCCAGCCGAGAATGCGCCCTTCAAATTAATAAGAGGAAACCAGTTCATGACTGCTTCGTTTATCCGACATCAACACAGAATGAAACACTTCCCAGCAGGACCTTTCCAAAGAAAAATGTAAGGAGCTTTTATCGAGCAACTTACCGTGTGCCAGACACTCAAGTCTTGACGGACCAGCTCATGCTCAGCCCATTCAGACAACCAACTTCTAAATCTTCAACCTTTTTTGATGAATATTTTGCTGATATGATTCTGGTCTTTTAAAAACTGTAATCATTAACCTGAACGCCAGTCACCGCCACGTGTCCCACAGTCACACCTTTAGGGATGGCTGGAGTATGCCAGAGGATTTGTCGCTACACTCAGTGGCCCCATCTGCTAACTGAAGACCTCTCCCATCTGGACTGGTGACCCCATTTCTGCTGTGTCCACCCGCCCTCTTGCAGCCCCACTCTACCCATTCTCCTTTCCTCTCATCACGTTAGAGCTATGCAAAACGACTTTCAAAAATGCTGAATGAGGCCCTTCTGTGAGAAAAGTGAATGGCTGCTCGAGGGTGTAACCCATCAATCAAGTTTCTCTCCTTGTTCTCTCTGGCGTTTAAAACAGAACTTGAAAACCACACTCTCTTCAGAAAAGGTCCAACCTGTTATAGTAAGGACAACAATAATTTCAAACCTGATTTTAGCGGTAGCATCTTTTCCTCCTTCAAATACAATCTCCTTCAGAGCCCCAATAGACACAATCAGACAAAAGCTCATTTGCTCACATGGTGAGGGCTGGGGTTGCACAACTTTGTGAATACATGTACCGAAAGCTATTGAGGGGCACCTAGGTGGCTCAGTCGGGTAAGCCCCTGACTCTTGATTTGGCCTCAGGTCATGATCTCAGGGTCATGAGATCGAGTTCTACTTTAGGCTGCAAGCTCGGCATGGTGTCCACTTGGGAGTCTCTCTCCCTTCCCTCTGCCCCTTCCCCCCTCGTGTGTGTGTGCGTGTGTGTCCATGCGTGCACGCATGCTCTCTCTCAAATAAATAAATAAATCTTTAAAAGCTATTGAATTGTGTACTTTGGGTGAATTGGATGGTTTGTGAATTCTCTTATATCATCTATTTTTTTTTAAAAAAAGCATATCTGTAGGGAATGAAGCAGGATCCAGAGCCCTGGAGTCCCTTGTTTCCCAGCCCCTAACCCCAGGAAGGACCCTGCAAGGGAGTTTGAGAACCACTCCTTTAAAGGGATTTGTCAGACTGTCTACAAAAAGAGAACATTTGCTAAAAGACTAACAAAAATATACTTGTACCTCACAATGGAGCCTGTACATTGGCAACCAACATCTCTGTTGACAAACAGATCCCAATTTTACACCCTCAAATAATCACTGCTTCTGTCCCTTTAGTCACCACCCCTAAGCAAGGACCAGTGCCTAGTGTCCCAAGATGGCCTGTAACTCCTCCTGCGGACACCCCCTCCTTGACCTGGAGGGCACTCACTAGCCTCGCAAGCTCTCTAGCATCCTGGCTAAGACAGCATACTACCCTGGCTGATCCTACCCAGGACGTAATATATTTGGGACCCCAAATAATTGTTTCCAAAATTCAAATTCCTCATAAACTCCAGTTGAGAGTGTTTAAAAAGACACACACAGATCTGAAAGCAGCTCAGCAGAATCTGTGCTTGGTGAGAAACACTGGCTTCTACATTGAACCCCAAGGAAGCTGAGGTCACAGTATGAGACAGAGCGTGGGTCTGCCTGACTGTGGCACTGCAGGTCGTCCCTTCTGTGCTAAAAACGAAGGTGAACCCTTGATGCTCATAAACCCAATCCTAGATACAAAGTGTTAAGCCTGGGTGGCTCTGGGCCACCTTGACCTTGGGGGTATCCTTGGTAATGCTCATCTTGAGCAGGTTCAACAGTAAACCTCCCCATAGGGACCAAACAACCTAAGTAAAATCCAGGTCACAGTTTCTTTCTTTCTTTTTTTTAAGATTTTATTCATTTATTAGAGAGAGAGAGACAGAGATAGAGAAAGAAAACAGAAGCGGGGAGGAGAAGGAGAAGCAGACTCCCTGCTGAGCAAGGAGCCCAATGTGGGGCTCGAACCCAGGACCCTGGAATCACGACCTGAGCTGAAGGCAGACGCTTAACCAATCGAGGCCACCCAGGACAGTTTCTGTCCTCCACCCTAGACAGCCTCTACTGCCTGGCCCAGCTCCCAGGGGATGTGCGTGGAAGGCGACAACATTCACCTGTGAACACTGGCCACAGTGTTTTCAAAACATACCCCACTTGGGCAGAATAACAATGCTCGGCTACCCTCGCACCTCCCTTTAGAAGCCTTCTACCTTTGCTCTGCTTCTCCAGGGACCAGGAACTTCTAACTGCTCAAAATCAGTGTTCCCTAGGTTTCCATTCACAGAGCACAATGTGAACCAGCCACCATGTGGGGCCCTTGACACAACCTCTTTCACACTCTGCAGGGCAGACACGTGCATTTCTAATATGCAGGCAGAAAACCCAAACTCAAGAGTACAGGTTATTACGTCTCGGTGACAAGATACAAAACAATATCTCTGTGCCTTTACAGTTCCTTTTAAGTGTTGTGGTGTCCCCAACAGGTGTGCATGCTGACTCTAGCTGCAAGCTGTGGGTCAACACAGAACCAGTTAGCTCTTGGCACGTGCCAGCTTCTTAGGTACTTGAAGACGGCTGACAGCTCTTCACTAAATAGCCTGAGGGTTTCAGAAC